AGCACTCCTGAAAATCATTTTCCTTCAGGACCTCAAGTGTCCCCAAACATGAACTTTTCAGGACCCCTTTGGCAATACCACCTCTACATCAGGCCTGGGCACTGAAATCTGACAACCGCACCCGGAGGTATCTCCGGAGGCACCAACGCTTACGTGAACTCGGAAAAATGTGAAGAAGATAAAAGCGTAGGTACCTCCGAGCGTGTTTGCCAGCTCTCTTTCGTACCTCAGTGCCCAGGCCTGTAGTAGAGGTGGTATTGCCTTTGGTGACAATGTGGTTTTTTCCCAGCACCTCTTAGTTTTTGAGAACAGAAAGAAATCAAATGGAGTCAGGATAGTTGACGCGCCATGGGTCTCACTTTTGGATTTTCCTACTCGACAAAAATTTCAAAACAATTCCCTGTTTAAAATATTTGAGCACAGAGGTCATGTCAGAGGGAGCATCCAACACATCTGCTAAATTTGTTCTAACTCGACTAAAAAAACTCAAATCAACTTGAAATTTGGAGTTAAAGACCGAGTTCCAAGCCGCAGGCCTATCACTTCAGCAGATATTTAACCAGTCCGGAGACTTTATTGTCAGACCTCGTATACAAGATATTTCGCAGTAATACCGATCTGGTTGAATTTTTTTTCCAGGTGGAGTACGTTGTGGCGCTTACGCAAGTATTTGGAATAGGCTGGTGCTTAGTTTTTCCATTTTTATACTTCGAATCGACTCAACTAGTTGCTGAGTACGTGCTTGCTGGAGTTATTTCGACACAGGGTTTACTAATTTTCATTGTTCGCGGTGGTATTGTACAAACTCTCAAACAGAAATTTCTAAACAGATCACCCAATCTATCTGCGTGGTATCAATCATTATCAGAATCATCCTCTGGCAATACGTCTCCTACTCTACAAAAAGACAGTTTCAGGACCGAGTTGGAAGAAGCAATTCGTCGGTTTTTTGAGAAGAAGAGAACAAGTAATACTGCGCGACCTCTATCAAGAAAAATCTCTTTTACGACCGAGTTACAAACAGAGATTGGTCGGTTTTTTGAAAATAAAAAAAAATTAATACGCGACTTTTACCACAAAGAACCGCTTTTACAGCCGAGTTGGAAGAAGCGATTCATCGTTTTTTTGAAAGAGGAAAACAACTAATAAGAAACCTCTATCCCAAGAAATCGCTTTCACGACCGAATTGGAAGAAGCTATTCGTTGTTTTGAGTTAGAATATCGAAAAATGAATTGTGAAAAAATAAAAAAATAAAATTATTGATAAATGAAAATGTGTTTTCCGAAATTTTATGACGTGGAATA